AGGCGAGGATCTCGGCCTTCCGCTTTCACTAGGCTGAGCTTGCCTACTGCAATGCCTTTAGGCCATCTCTTCTTGGCTGCCTTCAGGCCCCCTGGCACCTGTTGTATCCATCCCGCGGCTTCTTCATCGGCGAGTAGGGCAGCTACCGTTCCTGGGTCTTCTTCCGCTGGGCGCCAGTTTCCTTGGCAGACTTCTAGGCCTGACTGGGCGAGGGGCTGTAGCTTTGCTGGCGGCCACAAACCGGAAGACGCCTGTGTACGCCTTCCGCTAGCATGGAAGGTAGGTCTGCATCGGGGTCTTCTATACGTTGGGCGAGGGCTTGCATGAGCTTCAGTCTAAAGGGTTTGCCTGGGCTGATTTCTGCCATGGAGGCGAGGTCTAGGTCTAAGGCCGAGCAAAGAATCTCAAGGGCTTGGGACTGCTCCTCGGCTGAGAGGGGGTGATCTGGGCGGCTCTGGCTGATATGTGCAAAGACACGCTTGGGCAGGTCAGTTTTATGCGCCCATCTCAACCAGGCTTGAGAAGCTTTGCTTAGTCCCGACTGGCTCGGCAAACTATGATCTGCAGAGCTGGGTGCTCCTGCGCCGCCGCATATGGGCGGGCGGTGGGCAACAAAAGGACCTGAGGCCCTCAGCAACGAGGCATATGACAGCTCAGATATAGTTCCAAGCCGGAGTGGCAAGTTGCACACCCGTCCCAAAGCTTCGAGAGCTAGTAGGTGCGAGTCTGGGCATGGCCAAGAAGGCATTCTGGTGGATGCCAGAATCACTTCCCCCGGGCGCGGACTGGGGCACATGTGAAAGGCGGAGTCGTGTAGACATGCAGCTAACTCCTGGGACTGTAGGAAGACATGATCCCTAAAAATAGTCAGAATCGTCATGGCTGCCGAGGCTTTGGTGGCTTGTAGTAAGGCAATCGCTGTCTCCGTGTCCGGTACGATCGTCGGAAGGGAGGCTATGACTGCAATGATTTATCGGGCCCAGAGGCATTGTAAAATGAGTCCAGACTCTTGTTCCGAGGGCTGCGAGCTCGGCTCTAGAAAGGGAATGGCCTCTCTATTGGCTAGGCTTTTGCACCTGGCTCCTAGGTCTCCTGAGGTGTCCAAAAGCAGTACCTGAGGGGGTTCAAACTTCTCTTGCAGCCTGGCCTGCTTGTAGGCAGGGGATGTCCATACTCTGTTGGCGAACTTTCGTTTAAAGGAGGCTATCTTAGGGACCCTAGGCGGGTTATCCTGGGGTTGAGATGCCACTGGGGGGTGGCTTTGCCCTTCGTGCTTTGTTTGGGAGGCTCGAGATTGGCAGTCCTCCTGGCCAGCGACCAGCGGAGGACTAGGCAGAGAAACGGATTGTGGGGCCTCCTTTCCCGTGGCAGGAGTAGGCGGGGCGACAGGAGAGGCTAGTCACGACGTCTTACCGTCATGGTGGATAGCACAGTGATCCTTTCCGCATCCCCGAACGGCGCAGAGGTGGGCGAATTTGCAGTTGGCTACTGTGCATAGGTTGCGCTGGTATCGCTTGCACAGAACTTTGCCATGGGCCTTATAGACCCAATTGGATGGCCAATCTTCGGATTTGGCTTTGTTGGCTAGGCCCTTCCCCTGCTTGCCCCCCTTACCTTTCCCTTTGAGGTTCTTAGGCGGAGTGAACGGGGTCGTCCTAGTGCGCTTAGGCGGGGGGGGCGTAGGGGTGTTGGGTCTTTCTCTGCCTTTATTGGGCGTGGAAGGCAAGGCATTCCTAGGTCTGGGCTGCAGGAGGTTGGAGAGGTCGCTGCGGATAGATGTGACCTCGTAGAGGGCCTCGTCTAGACTCCACCCCGATGAAACCAAAGTTCCTATAGTGCCCCAGATCTTACGATCGGCCGTGAGCAGCTCCTGTGTGGTAGGCCCACGTAGGCTGCTATCCGCTAGGTCTGGAAGGGCTAGGTCTAGGACCCTTTTATCAAAGGCTTTGAGGTTATTTAAGTGGGCTGCTCCGCATAAAGCCCAGGCATTCCTGTAGACGGTTTGAATTCTGGACAACCAGCTAGCGGCGAGGCGCAAGTGGGCCACCGGCATCTCAGGCGTATCGTCATATAGGGCTGAGGCCAACAACTGGGCGTCCGTGCGCATAGGCTTGGAGGATTTGGCCTCCATAATCTCGGTGTATTGTTTTGTACTTAGGCGGAATTGCCAGGGGATCCAACGGATCTTCTCCCCCGGCTTGAGGCTGTGTTGTACTAGGCTGAGTAGACGGATACTCGGCATAGTATCATCGTCAAGCAACTCTCCTGGGTAGTTGGTCTTAAAGTCATCGACCAATTTCTGGGCAGCTTCAGGGCTTAACTTAGGGGGTAGATTCTCTACCCAAGAGGCTGGCGAGGCTTGAGGCAGGATGGCTGCTGATAGGCTGGGCTGTGCCTGGGCCTGATGTGTAGGCTCAGCTGGCTGTTGGCTGAGGTCATGGGCGAATCGCAGGGCTTTGCGGAGTCTGGCCGCATGGATCCCGTGGAACTGATCCGCAGACCCCATATCGCTCAGGTCTGTTTCTGAAAGACCCGAAAGAAGGGAGTCGAGGCTTCGGAGCTCCGGAAGGCATAGGCAAAATCGTCCATTGTCTTCAACGTCTTAAGGGTAAGAGCTTGGGCCGGGACTTCACGGACCCCATGGTCCTTGAAAAACTTCTCCAGCTCCATGGAGGAATCGGATGACATGGCGAGCTACGAGCACGAACAAAATTGATATGTAAATGGCTGCAGTCGTGGACATATGGCCAAGGCTAGTGGGCATCGGGGCTGAGGCATCGCAGATTCTTTGTCTGAGGCTATGGCATCGCATCTAACAGTCTGTAACAAGCCTTACGCTTGCAGAAAAAAGTATGGGAGGGGCAGGAGGGAGCGAAGGCTGCGGAGGTCTTAGACGCTCCGCAGGCTGCTCTATCTTCTCCTTGTCGGCACGCATGGATCACTCCCCATGGGCCGTTACGGAAGAGGCTGAACGTGGAGAGCTCCGTGGCTTGGGCCTCCTCCTGTTCGTTCTCGGATTCGGAGGAGCCGCGGCCTTGGTTGGCGAACTTTTCCACCAGTAGCGCTTCGGTGTCATTGGCGGCGACGAAGACTTGGGCGGTAGGCCTCGTTCCGGTTCTAGAGGAGGAGGCTCAGGTAGGTCTGCTGGAGGGAGTCTTTCTAGGTCTGCTTCCCTTGAGTAGACGAAGCGCGAGACCCCCTCGCCAAAGGTCGAAACCTTGTAAGATTGGCTAGGCTGGGACCTATCCACATGGAAAGGTGGCTCGAGGGTCGGGGGTTGTCCCCCCCTGGCTATAGGCCTGGCTGGCCTCCAACCCTGGGCACAAGCTAGGCAAATCTGTTTTTGTAGGTCGAGGGCTAAGATGGTGTCATCACGGCTATACAACTGCACACTTGGGCTTTTGTGACGACCCTGATGCTGTCTTGCTTCTTCGGCTGCCCGAACTTGAGCTCCAGCTGCAAGTAGGCAGACCTTGAGGCTGTGCAAGGTAAACGCTAGGCTTTCTTCTGCAGTCACTGGGGTGGGTTTGGTGGCATCTTGCCAGGGAATGGTCAAGAAATGTCGCATCGCAGCTAGGCTTTGGCTATAGGACATGGGCTTTGCGTAGGTAGAGGCTGGTCGAGAGAAGCCCCCCAGGTTGGTGAGGACCGGTAGGATGAAATCTGGGACTACCGGGGCTCCCAAGGCTTTCTCAGTGGCTGACCAGGCTGACTGGACCGCTTGCAGGAACGGAAGAACCCAGAGGGATTCCACCGATCTGCCGGAGAGGCCGTGAAGTGTGACTGCAAATGTGCAAAAACACTCCAATCTTTCACTCTGAGCACAAAAGCCTTGAGGTCTCGTAGTCAGCAAACTGAGGTAAAACCGGCTTGCGAGGGTAATTTAATGCTTTGCACCCCTCCTCGAGATCTTGAAAGTCCAACTGTCAAGACTCTCGCCGAACCATATGTGCATGCTGATGTCCATTCTGGACCTTGCATGTTCACATGTACTTCACACACGTGTAACAGGTCTGTACACTGTACAAAAACTATGTACACCTGTACACCTACTTGTGCCGGGCCCTTCTGGTGGGGCATCTTCCACTTTTGTTCTAGCTCCGGCACACATTACAGGATTCCAATCAAACAGCTTGTGACCACAGCCATCTCATCTTCGGGAGAATTTTCTTGTTGCTATGCTGTAGTCTCCTACCCTAGTCCTGCTGCTACTGTACAAACATCACGATATGAAAATCATGGGAAGGTCGACTCTAAACGCGCCAGTCTTTGCACGACATCAAAAGCGACTTGTCACCTTCTTGGAAAAACATGTGCTGTACACGCTACGGCTCACTGCTCTCACGGTCGGCACTGCTTGCAGGGCTTGAGCTTCTTCTCATCCGCATACTTCTTTGTAATCTCTCGCACATTGCTTGGAAGATCTCGAATCCACTTCTGAATCATTCCGCACTCGAAGGTGTGGTACGCCTTCTTCTTGCGCGGCTCCCCGATCATGTACACTCGTCCAGGAACCAAAGGGAGCTGGGTGCTTGCCGGCCCTTGCGTTCCATGTCCACGCTCGACGTCTTCACCATCTGCGACATAGGTTTGGACATAAGCTTCATTTGCTGCGGCCTCATCATCCTCACTGTTTGGCCTGGAACAGACCAGCCATGACGGTTCCACGTAGTCTCCAAGTCCATGATCTTGAGGATCCATCGACACATCATGGGAACCGGTAGTAGAGGATGCTGGGCGTCCTTGGGCAGCTGGATCTCCTTGTCCACCTTGAACACCTTGTCCTGGTCCACCGGGTCGATCTGGTTCTCCTTGAAGAAGTTCGTCACCCAACTGGTAGGTGAACCATGCATGAATCCTGTCTCGAACCGTGTTTTGGTTCTCCACTGGCTCCTCCGTTTCCTGGCTGCGTCCCCAACGTCTCTTTTGCCATTTTGGTGCCATAGCCATCACGATAGCAATCATGACCAGGGACAACACCAGGAACGTGGCGGCCTCGTAGTGTTGCACGAGGATCTCTTTCCCAAACTCCACAAGCGAAGCATGGTGTCCGCCAGCAGACATGTCGGAGCAGGCTGTTATCCTTAGCACTTCTGATGCTTCCAAG